CAAAGCCATTCTGTGTGGTTAGGAATAATGTAATGCTTGTAAGATGTGTAAAGAAGCCAGCCAGAAGCCAGTTCTGATATGAACCAAGCTTAAGATAGGTTGATGTGCTAAGGAACATACCCCAAAGTAGCCACACTATGTTAATGAATCAACCCTAAACTGTGAGCCCTGAGAGTGCAAAGCCAATGCCCACTGGGGCAACACACACACACAAAATTGAATTTTGGAGCCTGCCCCAGGCACATACTGCTCTCAAAGGGACTTTAAGACTGGGCAGTTGGGTGACTTTGGTTTGAGCAATCATCGTGTTTTCCTGGCACCTTTCCTGAGGTCACACATGTCACTGACTGATGCTCTCAATGGTGTCAACCTCTTGGCTTGTCACAGCTAGAGAACTGAGCTTTCTCTTTAAGTGATCTCATGAGGTAGGGTTTTCCAGTGAAGCCAGCAGCATTTCCTGCCTTGGGTTCCAGCTTGGTGAGATTTCTGTCTATAAACGAGACTGTCACGATCTTTACAACAGCACCACATTGTAAGGAATGCATGTGCGAATAATCTGAGCATATTTGAAAGGCAAATCTTGTGTCAAGTTCCTCATTGTGGAACACCTCACAGCCCACTGGCCATGCTCTTTACAGTATACATTGCTCATTTGGCTATAGCTGGAGGAAAAAAAGAAGCTCTTACAGCTTATTAGGGGAAGAAAACCTCATTAATTAAATGCATTTGCCCTTCATTTCGTATTAGGACCTTTTAAAAACACTCTCGAGCTCCAACTGAAGGAAGAGTACGGTTTAATTTGGCCTAGTTCTTTCTCTTTCTCTTTTTCAGTTGACCGCCAAGGCAAAAGCAGTCTTCTTGGCACCTCAATTCATATAAACATGCGCAAACAAGTACACCTGTTAGGTGCTCACAGCTTCTGCATCTCCAGCTCCAGGGGATCTGGTGCTCCTTTCTGGTTTCCCTGGGCACCCATAGTCATGTGTGCATATATGCATACACTTACAAAATGAAATGAAAGGAAACAAGTGTATATGTTAAGCCTTAGAAACATGGCTTCTTATTGGTTTTAAGTTCCAAACATCTTTAAAAAGTGGCTTTCCCAGTTAAAACTACAGACCCTGTGAAGAGTACATTCATTAAAGTATTGGGAACTACTTAGACATTCCAAACTAGGGTGGGGGAGAATCTGACCCACACATGAAATGTCCATGTGATGTAGTGTTATATAAATCATTAAATGTGGTTTATTTTAATTTTTATGAGTTTTTACTTATTTTAAATAAGAGAAAATTTTAATTAAAGTTAATAGGCCAGTGGTGGCTCATGCCTTTAATCCAAGCCATTGGGAGGCAGAGACAGGTGGATCTCTGTGAGTTCCAGGCCAGCTTGGTCCAAGGAGCAACTTCCACGACAGCCAGGACTACATAGATAAACCCTGTCTTGAAAATAAAAAAAGACAACAAGAATTTAAAGTTAATTTAATGTTTAGGATGCAAATTATTGTGTGGATTATGCCATATCCGTATGTCTTTTGGCATTATAAAGACTGGCAGGGAGAAGGAAAAGTATTCTGGGTGGGAATAATGTTATATTTTATGGTTTTATAATTTTAATATTGCAAAGATACTACTTTTACAATGAAGGAAAAAGATGTAAATCAAAGGTTTCAAATTTAACTACTGGCAGTTTTCTTTTGGACGAATAATATAACATGCAAAAAAGAATTGTTTTTAAGGGAGTGTTTTGAACCTATTTTAATAGATTTGCTTTTGTTTATCTTGTGATTTGCCATCCCTGGTGAGATGATTTTATAGTTTTTAAAGTGAAACGTGACCTAACCCCTGACTGAGATATTGTTGTGTGAGGATGTCCGTCTCCAATATCTAAGACTTTTGATTGCTGTTTGTTCACACTGAGATTTTTGATATGCCCAAACCTCTTGGTTTTCACCTTTGTGCTAAGGATAAATGTGAAGGGGAGAGCTGATTTGTTCAAATATAGAAAAACTGTCAGAAATGCTTACGTAACGTCAATTAAGAATCCAAAATATACAGGATAACTGGATTTTATAAGGGCTTGTTTCTTGAGCTTCCTCCTAGATTTCAAAGCAAGACCACTGGTTATATGAAGTTGGCTCTTGGAACAGAACAAATGAGAGACACAGTGTTCCCTGCCATTTCCAAAACTAGCAGGTATTATCATCACTGATATGCCAGACAATGTACCAGTAGGCCTATCTCTGCCTACAATACACTCACAGAGAGAGAGAGAGAGAGAGAAAGAGAGAGACAGACAGAGACAGAGACAGAGACAGAGACATGACGATCTTGTGCCAGATTTTAGAACTACTTACAGCAGTATATTTTCAGCCCTCACATTAAAAGTGCTGATATAACTAAAAGCTAAAACCCAGTTCTGCATCTTCTCTGGGTGTTTTCTTTTGTTTGCTCTGTTCATGAAACTCAAGTGGACTAGGCTGGTTTTCCTCCTTTCACCTCACTAATTGTGCACCAGAATGGAAAAGTGAAGAATGTGACACTTCGGCATTTCTTCCACGCAGTGGGCCTGCAACTCTCAAAATCCATTGTGGAGTCTTGTAAGTGCAAATGAATAATCTATTTCCCAGGAGGAACAGCATTTTGAGTGAGGTTTAAAAATCTATACGGCACTGTGCTTGATAAATTGGAAATACAGTTGATATTTATATTACTATCACCTCACAGAGAAAGCCTATACGCCTTGAGTAGGATGTTAAGATAGGGACTAAAAAGCATAGAGAGATCTGGTGGTGGTGGCACACACCTTTAATTCCAGCATTTGGGAGGCAGAGGCACGTGGATTTCTGTGAGTTCAAGACCGGTCTGGTCTACAAAGTGAGTTCCAGGACAGTCAGAGCTGTCGTACAGAGAAACCCTGTGTTGGTAGTTTGAATGTAATTGTCCCCCATAATCTCATGGGGAGTGTCACTATTAGGAGGTACGGCTTTGTTGGAGTGGGTATGGCCTTGTTGAAGGAAGTGTATCACTGCGCAAGCAAGCTTTGAGGAGTCCTAGGCTCAGGATACTGAGCAGTGAATCAGTCAACCTCCTGTTGACTGCAAGATGTGGGAGTCTCAATGCCTCCTCCAGCATCAAGTCTGCCTGTAGGCCACCATGCTCCCTGCCATGATGATAATGGACTGAGCCTCTGAAACTGTAAGCAAGCCACAACTAAATGTTCCTTTATAAGAGTTTCTGTGGCCATAGTGTCTTGTCACCACATTAGAAAAACCTAATTGTCTAATTAAGACAAAGAAAAAAGAGCAAACAGAGAGCCCCTGGGCCCCTGGACATGTTAAGTGATCAAGAAGTCTTAAGGATTGGAGACTGACATTCTTACAAAACATGATTTCAGTCAAGGCTTACGCAAAATGTTTCATTCTTAAAAACATAAAATCTTCTCACTGTAGTTAGCCAATCAGGATAATAAAAGTAAACCTGTTAAAATGGGTTCAAAACACCCCTCTGAAAACAAAGCAACAAAACACTTGATGTCGTAGGATTTACATCCACAGTAAAATTTTAAATGGCTTTATAAACATAACATTTTACTTTGTAACTACGAAGGAAAGGAAATGTTATTAACATTCTAGAATCTAAGTAGGAGAGGTTATCCAACTTTGAAACATCACTTCATTTTATAAAACTCCACTAAGGTCTTAGTAAGACTGAGGGGGGTCTTCAATAAATTAAATTTTTTTTCTTGCAGTCATGAACATTCAGCAAGGCCACACACACAGATACACCCGACTTTAAAATGAGGATGAGCATCTAATTCGTGAATGAAGAATGCTTTTATGCCTGTGGCTTCAGTTTCTTTCAGCATAATTAGGTCATTTGAAAAGAGCTAAGGGCTCTCCTCCCCGGTGGGTTGGGGTTGGAAAACTTCAGAAGTTTTCCCCTTCCCCTCACACTCTTCTGACTCAGGGACTATTTGAAGGGGACACCTGTTTTGAATGGATCCACAGGAAATACCTATGTGGTCTTCTCATAACCGGACCCTTTATCTGGTTGGTTGAAACATGATCACGATTTAAAAAAAAATCCTATGCTGCCCACAGCCTATGTTGCAACTTCCCTGTGACAGCATTTACTGGAAGGCTCAACTTTAGGTTTACTTTCCTCCCATTGATCGCTGGAACTGTAGCGTAAGGGGGGAAATGTCGAAGTGCAAAAGGAATTTTAACTCCGAAAGATTTGTATTAAATCACACATGCGTGGGTGAGATTTACTTCCTCCGGGTGGTTTGGCTTTTAAGATGGAATGTAGTCTCGTAGCAGTAAAGGGAATCATCACAGATTTCTATTTATAATACTTGTCCTAGTCGTTGAAATGGCTCAGCTGGTAAAGGCGCTTGCAGTCAAGCCTCATGACCCTGAGTTTGATAGCGGGGACCCACGTTGAGGATTACTCACGCCAATTGTCCTCTGACCTCCACACTTGTCTTGTGGTATACACGCGCGCGCGCACACACACACACACACACACACACACACACACACACACACTAACACTAATACACGAGAGCGAGCGAGCGTAATAAAAAGTTTTAAAAGAACTTGTCCGAAGCTCACGCTTAATCTTCTGTTACTTATTGATTAATTAATTATTTAATAAAGCCTTGTGGAATTTATAAGGGGTCTCACACACAGACGTTAATGCTGATCAACTTTAAACCCCCAACCGAATCCTAAGTAATAGGCTTCACTGTTTTTGTGGCTTTACACGCACTGACCCCGGCGAGTGCGGCGGCAGCGGGCATCTTCAGGGAGAGCACCCGCAGCCCCAGGATGCTGGCCCTCCTTCACCCGGACCACGCTCCCGCTAGGCAGGCGGGCGGCAGACCTCGAGGACCGCCTAGGGGGCGCCCAGCCCGGGCCGCGAACGCAGCTGCAGAATGACGCAGATGACGCCAGAGATGACACCAGGCCGCCAGCCGGCGTCGGCCGCACTCCCGCCCCGCCCGCGCAGGTCGCCGGTGAGCTCGCAGCCGCGTCCGTCCCCCGGGACGCGCCCCGCCTCCTGTGCTCCGCCCCTCGCCGCGCCGCGCCCCGGTTCCCACGGCGCCACTGGGCACCGCGAACCAGTCCGCCCGCCCAGCAAACAGCCCCGCCGGGCCAGGCCGCGCGAACATGGCGCTTGTCCCCTGCCAGGTGCTGCGGGTGGCCATCCTGCTGTCCTATTGCTCCATCCTGTGCAACTACAAGGCCATCGAAATGCCCTCCCATCAGACCTACGGGGGGAGCTGGAAGTTCCTGACCTTCATTGATCTGGTAAGGCCATAGGCTACCCCCCGCCCCACCGTGTCCAGCCTGCACCGCCCCCTCCGTGTGTGTGTGTGTGTGTGTGTGTGTGTGTGTGTGTGTGTGTGTGTGTGTGTGTGACTCATAAGCACCAGCGTGTGTGCGCCACCAACAGCCGTGCTGGCTGGGCTCCCACGAAGGCCTGGATGCCCCTCTCTCCTTTTACCTGGTAGGTAGGAGAGGTAAGAGAGATGCGGGCACAGACCAATGGGCACAGGTCTGCTTCTCAGAAGTGTCGTGGGAAGAGGATTCCGCCACCAAAAGCATCTGTCAGCCTTGGTCCTGAGTGTCTTCAGATTCATTGGGAACCCAAGTGCTTGCCACCTGCCAAGGTAAACTTGCAGCACTCATGCAGGAGACTGAGTGTTGTCTGGTTTCTTGGAGCATGGCTTAGAAGCACCCGGATCCCAGCATCAGAGGGAGAGAAATCACAGAATAAAACCTTCTTCGAACATGCTTTTCTGCCCATTGTCAACAATGTGTTTCTAACCTTTCCACCAGAAACACCCTAGAGAACGGTTCTTGGTGTGGCTTGACCTGACACACTTGGAACTTCCAGTCTTCCACAGTCAAAGTTTGTAGTCTGCATAGTCATCTCTTCCCCCGTCACATGATACTTTTAAAGAGGTGCAGGAGACTATAATAATTAGTTTAAAGTTTTCCTACCTTGGCTACTGAAAGTACTCTTGCAGATAACCAAAGGGTGAACACAATGCCCAGTCATGACATGAGGTGGACCTGGAACTTCTGAGTGAAAAGTCACCAAGACCAAGTCAAAAGGTTTCCAAGCATGGGCAGTGTGTGGAAACAAAAGCAAATTAAAAACCACAGAGAAAAATATACAACCAACTCCTGGACTACTAGGACTCTCTGAGATTATTCATAAAGTTGGCACATCTGCAAGGTTGTCCCAGATTTTGTTGACTCTCCATTTTGACAAATTTGAGTTTATTTGAAGATCTTTCCAGAGGCATATAATGCTTGTAGAAACACAGCTAGAGGCTTTCAAAAGGTTTTTTTTTTATTTGCATTACATAGGATATACTTCCCTTGGAACATATGAATTCCCTGCCAGTGTTCCTTTGGTCCTATGTCTGTCCACTTGGAGAACACATGATGTGGTTTTCCTCTCAGCTCCTTGTCACTTTCTGGTAGATGGTTATCACCAGGATGATCTTCCTGGAGGAGCTGATGGGCTAATCAGTAGACAGTGGCTTTGGCAGGTGTGTATGTAGTGCAGCAGATGTTTGCAAAGTCAGAGTCAGGCCCTGATAGCTGTGTCCAGAAAGACTTTAGAGCATGTACAAGGCACCAGGAAGCCTGAAGGGTGTTTGATGCTCACATCAGTGATGCTCACATGCCATTAAAATATGTGTATAGATATAAATATGTGTATAGAGTCCTTTAGAGTTAAGGCCTTCTCTCATTTGGAAGTCAATCCTTCCCTGGATTTTGTCCATTTGAGTGTTGCCAAAGATGGAGCCATAGCTCTTATGAATACTGTTCTACTGTGCCTTTGCCTTACGTGGGTCTTGTGCTGGGAACAGAGACACTGGGTGAGAGGGGTAGGAATTGGGGGTGCTGGCTAACCCAAGATGGGCTTGCTGTTTCACACATTGGCACTGGCTATTGTAAGTTAGAACACAAGGCGCACAAGAAGCAGTCTCCCTCCTATTATAACCTTCATGTGACTTGAAACAGTAGCAGAGTCAGTTTGATAGGCTGCCATGCTCTTTCTACTTTGTACTCAATGGTTGGACTCCCTTATTTTTAATAGCACTTAACCATACATGTTTAAAACTTCATGTCACATTTATGCTTTAGCCCTCTGTTTATTTAGAGCTCAATCCAGTCACCCAAACTTGTCACATTCTGTAGCTCCTGATTGAAATAAGGTAATTACGCTTATCCAGTAGTTCCTAAGAGAAACTCCATCTGAAATGTATTCCAAAAGTATGCAGAGTGTTATTCTTCTATTAGAGGGTTTGAGTCCTTGGGGCATTGTACAGCTGTTCAAACAGCCAACCTGTCAGACCCCTGTGATGGCATGAAAAGAGGATCCTAATGAAAGTTACCATTTAATTTTACATTCGTGTGTGTGTGTGTGTGTGTGTGTGTTTAAATGACAGTGAATAAACTTTATTTACTAGCATCTTGGGCAGTTTTAATTATTCTAGTCAATTTTTGAAGAGGACCATTGCTTTTCACAATTTTAATGAGAAGGTCCCATTTCTGGCCAACTTGGATTGGCCAGAATGTAGAGAGGGTATTTACCCTGACAACCACAGCTGGATTCTAGTCCTGCCGCATCAGTTTCGTCCAGCAGGAGTCAGGAAACTTGGACTCATATATCCAGGTGCAGATGATTTTGTGGTGGTGGCTATCCTGGCCCCGTTCAAATCTTTCTTTGAGTAGGAGAGTCATTCTAGTAGATTCATTGCCTGTAGTCAACACCTGAAACACAGCTTGTTGCTACCAGTAATCTTAGATTACTATTGCTCCAGAGTTGCTTTTATTAGTGTGGGGAAACTGTAAGAGAACTAGAGTGTTATTGGAGAATTCAGGTTAGAAAGTGGAAAAAGATCACCTGGATGTGGTAGGAAGAATCATGGAATCGTACAATTTCCACATCTCCAAGCCCAGAATCCATGACTAAGTTAAGTTACCTGGCAAGAGAGCAATTAGGGCTGCAGGTGGAATTTAGACTGCTTAACAACTGAGCTTAACTTTTCTGGACTATGCAGAATAATTAACTGGACTCTGTGTACCCATGAGCCTCTTTAAAAACAGAATGACAAAACAGGAGAAGACTCAAGATGAGGAGGAAGAGGTAAAGGCGACCTTTGAAGTAAGGGACAGATTGGCACCATCGTCACTTGTGAAGATGGCGAAGGGGACCTTCAGGCCGGGGAGGGGCAAGGGATTGGATTTTCCTCTAGCATTTCTGGAGGCCATACAGATTTGCTGACATCTGAGTTTTATATCAGGGAAACCTGTTTTGAGCTTTGACTTCCAGAGCTACGAAATAATAAGCTTATGTAGTGTAGGCCACTAAGGTCTTGGTAACTTGTCCTAGCAGCATTAGAAAAGGAACATTGTTGTCTGAAAAGCCTCTGGGTTAGAGGAAACATCCTGTCAACTGGATGCAGTCATTTAGCTAATCCCTTTTGCATATTAGGCCATGGCTTCATTTTGGATTTTGTGGAGGCATAGGATTTTACCTCCTTCATCTCATGGAGTATGCATAGGTGTACCATTGGGCGGCGAGAGATTGTATAGAGACCACACAGCATGGAGAAAAGTAGGCCTTTGCTTTGCTGTGAACTGTTTCAGAAACTATTGCTACACAACACCCTGAGCCATAAAGACTGCTCTTAATTGTAAACATGTCTGGGAAAAAATTAGACAAGCTGTTTGAATATTCTCTTAGTGTTATTACTGATGAGTTTTCTTCAGATGATCTGGATTCATGCCGTATTCACTAGCTGCATGGTTCTTCTTCAGCTTGCATAATAATTATTCCCAAAGATAACTAAAACAAAGAATTAGAGTAAATTTGGCATAAATGAAACAAAAGGCGACAGCATTGTATAAGCCCTCATGGTAGTGCTTGGAGCAAGAGGTTCTAAGGAAATGTCCGAATAAGCGGAAACGATCTCTTTCCAAATAGTTGATGAGCATTCTTTTCATGTCCTCCCTCCTTCCAAAACATCAAAGTCAATCTTAAAGTGTTTTGACCCAAACATTAGTTAGGTGTGTACGGTAGAATGTCTAATGAAGGAGGCCGACTCAACTCCCTGGAAAACACAAGCTGGATATTTGTTATTAAAACTTAGCAATGATGTTGGATTCAGGTTCCTAAAAAAAAAAAGTGAGGCCTGGTATTCTCATTTGCTATGGTTTTGTTACTTACCACTTTGAGAGTTACCATTTCTCAGAGCAGTGTTTTGCTCGTTGCTCTCATACTGACTTTTCATTCCAGCATTGGCAGGATGCTTTCTGCTGAAAGTGACAGCTACGAGCCACATGAGCAGCTTGCTCCAGGTGCCACTCTCTTTTGTCTTAGTCAGTTTTTCCCCTGGCTGTGACAATATACCCCCAAAGAAGGGATTTAAGGGGCTAACAGTTTAGTTTGGTTTACAGTGTGTGAGAGAGGGGACAGTTCCTCATGAAGGGGGAGGCATGTTGGCAGGGGTGTGAAGTAGAGGGTCCCATGTCTTCTGATGTCGGGAAGCAGAGAAAGGAGCTGAGCGGCATAACGTCAAGGCTCACCCATACTCACTCCTTCCCTCCAAGGAGGCCCCACCCCCAGGAGTTTTTATAACCTTCCAAGACATGTTCACTTGGTAGGGACAGAGTGCTCAAACACGGGAGCCTATGAGAAGCATTCCACACTCAAACCTCAACACTTTCTTAGCTAGGTGATGCCTGCCCACATTCTAATTTGATAAATGATGCTCTAGGCTGCAATGTTTTGTAATTTATTGTGAAATGCCTGCATATATTAATCATAGCTTAAGTTGCTTTAAGCTCTGACATACTTAAAACAAGCAAAAATTACAGCTTGAGATAAAATGGAAATATAGATGGTGGGCTAGTTATTACAATTGAAAAACATATAGGGATGATTCTTCAGGGAAGCCAAGACATACAAAAATATTGTCCCTAGAGTTGAAATAATGAAAGATTAAAAGCCTATCAGGGGGATGTCTCTTCCGGGCGCTGTCATTCATACCCTCATATTTAAGAAACTAGTAGCATAATAGATAAACCCTCTTTTAGTATTATAACTCAACATTCTTTTGTTTGCTTGCTTTGCTTTTTGGGACAAAGTCTCACTGTGTACCCCTGGTTGACCTTGAGCTGAAAGACATCCCTGTCTCTGTCTTCTCAGTGCTGAGATTAAAGGCATGTGCCACCACACCCAGCTAATTAAACATTCTTAAAGCTGATCCTTCATAATTTTATGA